TACTGGAGGGACCGCCACCAAGCCAGCTGCTTTGTCTACCCTGGGGTGGGCTGTTCTCTCACTGTTTAAAGTATTGGCAGTTCTGAAGGGCAACCGCATTTGAGTTGTGAATCAATACACTAAATGAAAGGCTTGGACTTGGAGGACTGATGGTCCCAGGTTGAACATTTCAGTGGTTTATTCCATGATTTCTGTTAATATTTGTGCCAGCCAACCAAAGTGTTTCGACTTTTCAAACTTGTTTTAGAAAACGTAAAATAATTTCGCAATCCTACAGCGATATGTTTTTCCACTCTTTCATTTCCTTTCCTACCTTCACCCACTCTCTCGTTCACTTTTATCGGCTATTCAATAGCTTCTTATGTTGGATTTTAGTCTCATTGTTTTAAGTGTTTGAAGAAATGTGTTGGTTTAATCAAAAGGCTGTGGTAAACATTTCAAACGATTATTTTGGGATGTGATGCTGGCTTTTGTGTTTGCATAGGCACTTTCCATGTGGCCTGAACGCTATGTTTATCTAGTTTCTGTTTCAGAACTAGGAAAGTGGAATACTATTACCGTTTAACACATGCTGAAAGGTGCCAGTGAATGAGAGTGTGTTAGGGGCTAGCAGTCATTAGCATTTCACTTCCTCAGCCAGTTGAATAGCACATCTGCTCTCTCTTTTGGGAAGATGTAGCGCACTCAGCAGACCCTGTGGCTAATGGTTAGGGCAAAGCGGGAGTTGAGGCATTAGTAAGTAGTAGCTGAGGCCGGTAGACAGTCTCTGCTCAGGACCCCGCCTCCAGCTCACATTCTCTGCCTGGCTCACGTTTGTGTTCCACCTTCTGTTGTTACATTGAACATCACACATTTAGACGTGTCTCTCACCTCCCGCAGGGCAACCCTCATCAGGACAGGAGGAATCGTGTCCTGTTCATGGTGCGAGGTTTACATCTTCATGATGAATCTTATCTCAGCAAGCCGCACTGTTGGATATACACTGAGTGGCCAGATTATTATGATCTCTGAACGCATAATAATCTGGCCACTCAGTGTATATCCTGTATAATAGGCTAATATGCAAATTGTCCTCTTGACCAGGAGTTTGACCAGCAGGCAGGCCGGCCAACTGCTCATGCCCCCTCCCCTGGCCAGGCTGGCTGGACCCCACCCACCCATGCACAAATTCATGCACACTGTGCGTTCAGAGATCATAATAATCTGGCCACTCAGTGTAAATGTTCCCACGTGTCCTGTCCAGATACTGTCAAACAGGCGAGTAAGTCCCAAGCACTAGTAAGAAGAAACTTTCTCCAGCATTTTGTATGGTTAGAGCGAGGAAATACTTGGTTTAGTTTAGTCCCCGCCCCCCTCCCCCCCCCACACACACTATTTACCTTATTTATCACCAACAAATAAAAAGTAACCACCCATTACCAGCATCAAAACACAAGGCTGTTCCTTCGAAGTGCTTGTTTTAACTCCTGGCAATGAGAGACCATTTCCTCCAAGGACAGAGGACAGCGTGGCCTGCCATATTTTTGCAGTTTTGGAATGTTGTACTGTTAGATAACAGGAAAAAAACGCTATCATTTTAGGGACAAAATACGGGCTTCTTTAGATGAACTTACTGTTTTATCTGTTAGGAGTGGGCAGAAAAACAGAGAGTGCGAGTGTGAAGTGAAAGACTTTCCCTGTGGTTTCAGGAGCTGTTTCCTTTGTGAATGCAGTGACGCCTCACAGTGTGTTTATAGTCTTTTCAAACCCCTATGTCTTTAGAAAGAGAGTGGACTCAAATGTTTACATAAGGACTTTATTTACAGGAATGAATGTTTCTGACTCTCTCAGAGTATCATTTTTCTGGCTACTTAATAAAACACAATATTCACGCAAGTCCACTGCTGAAAGTTCATACCGTACCGTGCATTGGTTGGTATGTGGATTAGAAAGAAACTCATTTGGGTTGAAGTAAGTGCAGAGTTACCTTACAATGGGGCTTTAGTATAAGCTCACATAGGTCAGCAGAGAGCAGTTCGGTAAAATTTTATGTCTACATAGGGCCTCTTTATTCCTGATGATGCCTTTTCGTTGCAAGTTGCAACGTAGAAGGAAATAAAACCAAGTTTCAAACCCTTGTTGAGTTTATTCCAGGGAAATGTTTTTCCGAGTCTTGTCTTTGCTTTGGTTAATTTTGATTTACTCTATCTGCTTATCTGCCGTCACAAATGACATAGGCATTATTGCTGTGACTAAACTAAAAAGAGATTTTTGGCCAGATCGTATCAGTGGGAATAAGTTCCACTGGCCTCAGCGTATTTGCCTACAAGGGTCTGTTTGTAAATACTGTAACTTTGAAGGGGATGTTCTTGTAGAGACTGAAGTTTGACCTTGAAGCATTTTTTCAGGTGAATATTTGCTTCTTTTGGGGGCCTAGTATCTTCCCCCTGCCTTTATTTTTATGTATCTCTGGCAGCTGCCAGCTCCAGCTGATAGACCTGGCTCGGCCCTGGCTTATTCTGTCGCCTCCTCTCCCTTCCTGGAAGCAGGAGTGCTGGCTTCCCTGGCTCCTCTGACATCATCTTTGCCTGCCTGCCCTCCCCCTTCTCTGCCTGAAATGTTGGTGTATCCCAAGATCCCATCTTTGCTCCCTTCCTTTGCTTCCCCTTTTCCTCCTGTGGATGAGCTGTTGGCATCCGAATCCAGGTCTCCTGCCTCAGGGGCCAGGCCATTTTGTCTGTCTGGCCACCAGAGGGCTTATTTCAAGTGCCCCTGGTCTCAGGCAACATGGACAGAGCAGAACTCATTGTGCTGTCTCCCCAGACCCCCTTCTCTTCTTTTTCCTGTGTTGGGCCAATGGCACAACCATCCACCAGGAAGGCTGGGCCTGCGCCCTGCAGGCTACGTGCCGTCTTCAGTGCGCTCACCTCCTGCTCCCAGGTGATGGCCAAGCCCTTTGGGTTCAGCCTTCCGGGATCTCTCATTCATCCTCTCTCTCCATCTCCAGTGCTTCGTTCTGAGTTCCGCTCCCAGCAGACCCCACGCCCATTACTCAGTTCTCCGTTCCCTTCCTGTTCATTCATCGCACACCCTGAATCCCTGCCACCTGGCATCGAGTCATGCCTGGAAAAATGCTTGAAAATAAATGACTTGAATGACTCAGATCTCTCATGTAACAAGTACATGTATGTCCTGTACATGTATGTCCTTGACCGGTGGTACATGTATGTCCTTGACCAGACTCGGACCTGGGGCCCTTCACTCTGCGGGCTGACACTGTAGCCACTGAGCCAAACTGGCTAGGACTATTCTGATTCTTTTTAAAATGCCTTGAAATGATATACCATAATCTTTTATGGTAGAGAGATTGTCTTTAAGATGTGCTTGATATGAAGTCACAGAGACAAAAGATCTTTTGAGTCATTGAGTTTTAAGGGGTTATGTCATGAACCCAGCATATAAGCACACTTTTAAAATCTATTAAAACCACCTCCACTTACTGTATGATATTGATCTTTGACCTAAATTAAAAAGGTGTTGTTGTGTGTGTGTGTGTGTGTGTGGTTTTTTTTCCCCCCTTCCCTATAATGTTTTTAAAAAGACCTATGGGTATTGGACTTTAAATTGAATTATCTAACAGAAAGAAAGGAAACAAAACTGCTTTGGGTGTTAGGTCATGACGATAAGTAGGCACTTCCAGTGGGAGGTTGAATCCATGCCTATCTTGTTTTAGTGTGTGGCTGATCACGCAGACGCTACCCACTGAGGCCCCAGGCTCCTCCTCCTCTGTCTGCTGCTCTGAACTCGGAGGGATCTCGCCTCAAGCTAATGATGAGGGGTAGGAGCGGTCGGGTCCTGGGTAGCACAGGAGAGTATTTTGCTCATTCTCTGGTGGTGACTTTACCTTGCCCCTAAAGGCTTTGGCGTCGCCGTGAGCGGGAGCCCCAGTGTGTTGCTGTGATAATGATGCCGTCATGGTTGCTTACTCCTGGATTAAAACCTCCACGCTCTGCAGTTCGTACTATGCAACTACTAGGGAGTACAGGACTCGGCAATAAATTGTCAGTTGTTGTTGTTGGAGAAAATGATGTGATATGAAGAAATGTTTTATGAGATTATTTCAGTCTTGTCTTGCCATCTCATCCCAGCCGTTTATTGTGGAGAACTTTCCCAGGGTACATTGCCACGAGATCCAGAGTCGCTGCACAGTGTTTTGGTGAACTGCATTGGAGACAAAACTCTCTGGGGGTGACGGCTTCTCCAGAGAGGACCTTTGGCTTTGCCGTGGCACCAGCCTGGGTTTGAAGTCAAGGCTAGCCACGTTGGCTGTGCATCCGTGGGCCAGTTGACTTAACCTTGTGGGGTGTGGGCATGTAAATCTTCTAGAGTAGCCCCTCAGATGTAAGAGGTGTTTTATAAATACTACTAGAGGCCCAGTGCACGGATTCGTGCACCTGTGGGGTTCCTCGGCCTGACCCGTGGGGATCGGGCCAAAACCGGCTCTCTGACATCCCCCAAGGGGTCCTGGATTGTGAGAGGGTGCAGGCCAGGCTGAGGGACTCCACCGATGCAGAGTCAAGGGCCAGGGAAGAACCTCAGGACAGTTCCAGGGCATGCCCAGCCCATCTTTCCCAGTCCTTATCCATCAGCCAGACCCCAGCAGCAAGCTAACCTACCATTCTGAGCGTCTGCCCCCTAGTGGTCAGTGCATGTCATGGTGACTGGTGGACACTTAGAATATTAGGCTTTTATCATATAGGATTCCTCATCTCTTCCCTGTGAAAGTCGTGTATTTTGCACCCATGGGAGGGCAGACTTCTTTTTCTAGAAGTTGGGTACACAGACAGCGAGACAAGTGCCAGGGAAGGAGTGGATTCCTGTGGGACTCTCCCTTGGTGCCCTGCTGTGAAGGAATGCGCAGCGGGGCCAGGGGGAGAGGTTGGTGTTGGCTCCTCGGGCCCCGGGAGTGCCCGCCGCTGCCACAGTGTTCCCAATGACACTCCTCCCTCTCTCTCCGGCAGGTGCCCGAGATCATCAGCTCCATCCGCCACGCCGGGAGGCTCGCCCGCCAGGAGGAGCTGCACTGCCCCTCGGAGTTCGACGACACGTTCTCCAAGAAGTTCGAGGTGCTCTTCTGCGGCCGCGTGACCGTGGCGCACAAGAAGGCACCGCCGGCGCTCATCGACGAGTGCATCGAGAAGTTCAACCACATCAGCTGCAGCCGGAGGGCCGAGCTGGACCTGGCGGCCCAGGACCCCGCGGCCAGCGGCCCCGCGGCCACGCTCTCCTTCACGGACCGGTTCCGGGCGGCGCTGCAGCCCGCGGGGCCCCCGGAGCAGGGCCGCCGGCCGATGCGCAAGTCCTCCTCGCAGCCCGGCCTGCGCTCCACCGCCTGCAGGAGGGAGTTCCAGGACGGGGGCCTGCGCAGCCACAGCTTCTTCAGCTCCTTCGATGAGAGCGACATCGAGAACCACCTCATCGGTGGACACAATATTGTGCAGCCAACGGACATCGAGGAGAATCGAACTATGCTTTTCACGGTAAAACAGCAACCAAGCCTCGTCGTGGTCACCCCCCAGTCTTGAGATGAGAACATCTGCTCTAGTGAGCCAAGAAGCTTAGCACCTTGCTTTTGGATTTCTGTGCGAATCCGTGTATTTAAAAAAAAAAAAAAAAAAAAAAAAAAAAAATATATATATATATATATATATATATATATATATATATATATATATATTATTGATTTTATTACAGAGAGGAAGAGAGAGGGATAGAGAGTTAGAAACAGTGATCAGCTGCCTCCTGCACACTCCCCACTGGGGATGTGCCCGCAACCAAGGTACATGCCCTTGACCAGAATCGAACCTGGGACCTTTCAGTCCGCGGGCCGATGCTCCATCCACTGAGCCAAACCAGTTAGGGCCACAGGGTAGATTATTTTAACAATAATTTCAAAAGACTTAGAAAAAAGTCATTAGAAAACCGCTTGGGACGTTTTGAAAGAGAGCCTCTGTTTTCTGGAAGATTCACTTACCTAGGAGCTGAGGCTTTGCCGCTAACTTTGGATATGTGGTTCCTCCATCTCACGGAGGACCGCTGTCTAACGCAGGTGAATGTGCTAAGTTGTCCTGCGCTACCCAAAGCCCGTAGGTTAAATGACAACCTTGAAGTGATTTTCTACGGTGAGATAGAGTTTTATAGACACCTGCCCCGTTTAGCCTTTGTTTTCATAGGCCATGAAATGAGAAAGGTTGTGCGATAAATTTGAATTCAGCTTTCATGAGAAGCTGGCTGCTTTTTCTGTTTGTCTTTTAAGATTGGTCAATCGGAAGTTTACCTCATCAGTCCTGACACCAAAAAAATAGCATTGGAGAAAAATTTTAAGGAGATATCCTTCTGCTCTCAGGTAAGTTCAGATGGGTTATTGGCCCAATTGCAGTGGAATTTTTACTGAATTTTTCCCATATCTGCCCGTCAGTCAACAGAAGTGTTAAAGGTCACAAGATGTATGTGTTCTAAGTACTTGATTTGTGTTCTTGCATTTCTTCCTCCTCTACTTTGATATGTTAAGGCAAAATGTGAATGTAATTTCGAAATTAAGAATTTTGTTTTTAGAAACAATAATCTGGAGAAAATAGTTTACTTTTCTTTTTTTCAATTATTCATGGTAACATTCCCAAAGATGATTCTCATGGGTATATGTATATGTCTGTGTGCACATTATATATATATTTATACATATTTTTAAATAGATACTTATTTCTTCTTTACAAAATTCATAACTTTTTAAGGGTAATAACATTATTTCTTCTTCCTTAAAATATATTAGAAAGCGATTATTTTTAGTGTGTTTTGCTAAGAATACTATCTACTTGAGTTCTTTCTTGATAATCTCCCAATGTGTTCCATAGATTTTGGAGAATCAATAAGTTATAAATGAGCTGTGCCAATTTTACTCAGGATCTTCCTCACAACCATGAGGTCACTCAAGATACTATTTTTTAAACTCTCACTTCTCATTTCCTCACTTCCATTTTCTCTTAATAAGATGATGAAAATCTCATTGTTTGTTGATTTATAACATGATCTCCTTAAGGATTCAAAGGGATTTTTTTTTTTCTTCTTCAAAATGTGAAACTAAAGAATGCTCCTCAGTAGATCAAAGAGGGAACCATTTACAAAGGAACAGTTTTTCCAAACCTCCTTCCCCCCAAGAAGGAGCCTCTAGCATGTGCTGCCCGTGGCTGTGGGAGAACACGGACCGAGCGGTCACGGATCAGGAAATATCTGATCGGACGTGAGATTCTCCGCAGAGTGTTTATCTTGATTTGCTGCTATTTCTATTGAAAAGTTAATGTTTAATGTGTGCTTTTTCACGTGATAGTTTTACGATTTCCTCAAGTTTACATAATCGCCTGAACTTCCCTCTGTCAGTACTCAGACCTCTGTAGGCTAATGCTCTCAGGAAATCCCACACATTAATGTCTGTGGGCCGTGTCTTATCTGTATTAAAGTGCCTCTTAGCTGATACTCTCAAAACAAGTTTAGATATTCATATTTATTAAAAAGAGTCTTAGAAACTACAGTGGAGCCCTGGCCTTAACACCTATGTTTAAAAACTTCTCTTTTCTTTGTAATTATAATTTCTGGCTCATTCTTCATTCCACTTCACTTCGGTATTTACCTGTCTATTTTATAAGTACGCACCTGTTGTTAAATCTTTTAACCTTTGTGTCTGTGTGTGTTGGCATGTGTACATGTATTGGGTCGGCAGCTAAGTAATTGCGGGTTTCACACATATATGGCTTCAGTTGAATTTTTAGGTTTGCAGACGTAGTACAAATGTAAAACCCATTTTGTTATTTGATAGTTGGCTATTCAGCTGTTAATCAGTAAAAAAAGTTTTTTGATCTGTTTTGTAGTTTTTGTTTGACGTTCGTTGAAAAATGGAAAATCAAAAGGAACATTTTTGTCATATTTTGCTTTTTTATTTCCGCAAAGGGAAAAACGCATCCCAAGCTCATAAAAAGTTATGTGCTGTTTATGGTGACGAAGCCTTAAAAGAACGGCAGTGTCAAAATTGGTTTGCCAAATTTCGTTCTGGTGATTTTTCACTCAAAGATGAAAAACGCTCTGGTCGTCCAGTTGAAGTTGATGACGCCCTAATCAAAGCAATAATCAATTCGGACTGTCACAGTACAACACGTGAGATTGCAGAGAAGCTTCATGTATCACATACATGCATTGAAAATCACTTAAAACAACTTGGCTATGTACAAAAACTCGATACATGGGTTCCTCATGAACTGAAAGAATCACAGTTAACACAACGCATTAGCAGCTGCGATTTGCTAAAGAAACATAATGAAAATGATCCATTTTTAAAACGACTGATAACTGGCGATGAAAAATGGGTTGTTTACAACAATATCAAGCGGAAAAGATCGTGGAGCAGGCCAGGTGAACCAACTCAAACATCATCAAAAGCTGATATTCATCAAAAGAAGGTTTTGTTATCAGTTTGGTGGGATTACAAAGGAATTGTCTACTTTGAACTCTTACCACCCAACCAAACGATCAATTCTGATGTCTACATTGAACAACTAATGAAATTAAACAATGCAGTTAAAGAAAAGTGGCCCGAATTGACAAATCGAAAAGGTGTTGTATTCCATCATGATAATGCAAGGCCACACACATCTTTGGTCACTCGGCAAAAATTAATGGAGCTTGGTTGGGATGTTTTGCCACATCCACCATATAGTCCTGACCTTGCACCATCTGATTACTTTTTGTTTCGATCTTTACAAAACTCCTTGAATGGTAAAAATTTCAATAATGATGATGATGTCAAATCGTACCTGATTCAGTTTTTTGCTAATAAAAACCAGAAGTTTTTTGAACGTGGGATTATGATGCTGCCTGAAAGATGGCAAAAGGTCATTGATCAAAATGGGCAATACATTACAGAATAAAGTTATTTAGTTCCATAAAAAAATTGTCTTTGATTTTCTTTAAAAAATCCGCAATTACTTGGTTGCCGGCCCAATACGTGCGTGTGCATGTGTGTGTGCGGTTGTGTTTCTTCATTAATCTCTGGTCTGCTTTTGACTTTTCAAGTAGCTTTTTATCCTTTAATACTTCAGAGAAATTCTCATGTTTCTGTGTCAACTTTTCATTCCTTCCTATTAGTGCTAAAATGGGCATGAAAAACTCCGGTTTTGAGATCTTACTGTGGGAGTAATCAGAATAGCGTTTGAGAAGAACGGTGCTCACCATCATAGTTGAGAGGGGTTTATAGGGTATTTACTTGAAATAACAACTTGATGGTGCCCTTTCCCGAGGCATGGTGTAAATGTGCAGTTGCCTTCCTGGGATTCGGCTCAGTGTTCCTTCCTCCCGCCTCTGACAGGGCATCAGACACGTGGACCACTTCGGGTTCATCTGCCGGGAGGCCTCGGGAGGCGGCGGCTTCCACTTCGTCTGTTACGTGTTCCAGTGCACAAACGAGGCTCTGGTAAGCGGCGGGGGGGGCTAAGTTCCCACGTGAACCCTTGGTGATGAGGACTTTCAGACTCACGGGTTTTTCTTTCCTTAGCAAGACTGCAGTCTCATCGACATACTGCTACTATATTCTTAAAAAAAAAAAAAAAAAAAAAAAATATATATATATATATATATATATATATATATATATATTATAGATTTTTACAGAGAGAAGGGAGAGGGATAGAGAGTTAGAAACATTGATGAGAGAGAAACATTGATCAGCTGCCTCTTGCACACCCCCCACTGGGGATGTGCCCGCAACCAAGGTACACACCCTTGACCGGAATCGAACCTGGGACCCTTGAGTCTGCAGGCCGATGCTACATCCACTGAGCCAAACCGGTTTTGGCTGGCTTTACTATTTTTCATGACTGTTTAATTAGCACCTATCTGGGATTTGCTTGGGTGTGCGTTTTCAATATTTTTATAGAACTGGCTCACCTGCACCCCCTGGGTTAGCAATTTTAAGATGTCATTTTGGACTTGTGATTAGAGGACTTGGCTTCTTCACTCCGTGTTTAATTGGTGTATTTAGTTTTTCTCGTATCCCCTGGAAGAGCCCTGAGCACCGGGGTAGTGCTTCTCAGTTGGTAACCCTAGCAGTTATGATGGTTACCTGCCAACCTGTGACTCGTGGTCCAGAAGATGCTTAAAATACGGAGTCTTCCCGCAGATTTCCGCATGTGGAGCTCACTCATGTTAACGGGACCTTTCCCTGGTTACTGACGCTCTTCTCTCTGACCAGGTGGATGAAATCATGATGACGCTGAAACAGGCGTTCACGGTGGCTGCTGTGCAGCAGACCAGAGCGCCGGCCCAGCTGTGCGAGGGCTGCCCCCTGCAGTGCCTGCACAAGCTCTGCGAGCGCATCGAGGGTGAGTAGGGCCCCTCAGCCGGAGGGGAAGGCCTGGCGGTCTGCACCCCTGACAGGTCCCGCCTGACGGAGCCTTGTATTAGCCACTGGGTTGGCCGGTGCAGGGAATGTGTTCCATGCGTCAGGGATTGTGCCAGGTGCGTGTGATTCCAACATAGTGGCTGTACCATTTTACACTCTGTCAGCAGTTTCTCCACATTCTTGCCAACACTTGTTGCTTTTTTTTTAATTTAAATTTTTTATTTTTTTAAATATATAATTTATTGATTTTTTTTTTTTTAGAAAGAAAGGGAGAAGGATAGAGAGTTAGAAACATCGGTGAGAGGGTAACATTGATCAGTTGCCTTCTGCACACCCGCAACCAAGGTACATGCCCTTGACCGGAATCGAACCCAGGACCTATCAGTCTATAGGCCGACTCTCTATCCACTGAGCCAATTTAGGGCTGTTTTTTTTTTTTGTTTTTTTTAATAACCATTTCAAAGGGTGTGAAGTGGTATTGATCTCCCCTTTTAAGTGAGATAAATGGGCAGTTTTCATGTTAAAGTGTTTGAAGGTTCATCTTCGTGCATTCTAATGCTCTTTAAAATGAATCAAAATGATTACTATTTTTTTTTTACTGTGTTTTCCTGGTTGTTACTATTTGCTGACATTGTACTAAACATATCTGGGAACAAGAAAAGCGGGGCTTTATCTAGAGCTCCCATCTGAGAGGATCATAACCCTTTCCTGGGTGCTTTCCAAGATAAGGTGAATGGTGACGGAAATGCCCCCCGGGGGAGGGGGCTGACTAAGGCCTCCCCCCCACTGTGACTTTGGCCTGGAAGATGCAGCAGGTGACCATAGGCACTGGCAGGGTCGCAGGGTCCCGCCTGGTGCAGCTGGCTTGGGTCTGGCTTAGCTCTCAGAACGTTACAGCTGAGGAGTCTAATCAGGGTGGGAGTTTAGCAGCTGTAGTTTGGTAGTTATCATTTAATTCATCTTTCACCTGATGAAATCCAAGCAAAGCGGAATCGGTGCTGATGTGTAACCTCCCTCGTGCAGGCTGGAGAAGGCGTGCTTTGCCTGCTGCAGGGCAGGCACCTTCCCGGAGCGCAGAGGGCATTGTTAGAAGGATCCTCCCCAGGGGAGGGGCTCGATGCTTTATGAACAGCCAGAGGCCCTCGCTGTTTGCTCTGTTACATTCTAATCAGCACAATGAAGTGAGTGGTTTATTAAAGTTCATGCATGGTCCCGTCAGAGGTGTTCTAGTGGGAACGTATGGTTTGGCCAAGAACTCCATAGACTGTAGAGAGGGCCGATGACATCGCCACAGAAACAAGACTTCAAGACAGCGTTGTGTTAACGGATACAGCCATGTCATTCCTAGGAATGTGTAAAATATAGTAAGTAGCTGTGGCCACTTTGGCTCAGTGTATAGAGCATCAGCCCACGGACTGAAGGGTCCCGGGTTCTGTTCCCATCAAGGGCACGTACCTCAGTTGCAGGCTGGATCCCTGGCCCCAGTCGGGGTGCGTACAGAAGGCAACTAGTCGATGTGTGTCTCTCAAATCAATTATTTCTCTCTGTCTCTTCCCAACTTTTCACTCTCTCTAAAATATCTATAGAAAAATATCCTCAGTGGAGAATTAACCAAAAATAAAAATAAAATACAGTAAAAATATAAAATAAAACACTGACTACCTTGGCCACCCACTGCAAGGTGCACTTACAGCTCCTGAAGGTGCAGGCATGCACGGATTGGCTTTGAATTGTGTGCCACGGCTCGTAGTGTTCACATAGTGTTTGCTTATCTTAGAGCTTAGAGGAGCGTTTTCGGATTCACTGGAGTGAACTGTGCTTCCACTAACAAGAAAACAGTTAACGGAGGCTTCCCTTTGCCGTGGCTGAGCCAGGCCGTGCGTCAGAGCTCCCGGGAGAGAGCCCTGTGCGCGGTGACGGTGTGGAGGCGGGCGTCCCCACGGGGCTGCGGGTTGTGGTTTGGGAATGCCCTTGCCTCTGGTTACCTTTTCCTTGCCTCCTTCCGCCCTCTAAGGCCTTTTGGCATCACGTGGGGAGTGCACCACCCAGGAGGTGCTAAAGATGGTGCGAAGCCACGGGGAATGTGTGGGTCAAGGGACCGGCCCGGGTGGGCCCCCTCTGCTTTGAGTTGGTGGGGGCAGGAAGGACCGAATGCACCAAGGCATCCCGAAGACAAGGATGAAACTTGGCCAAGGATCTCTTCATGCCTGCTGAGGATGAACAACAGTCTCCCTGCATGGTTTCACCCAAGACTGCGAGAAGCACATGATTAGTCTAACTCAGTGGTCGGCAAACTGCGGCTCTTGAGCCGAGGTTGGCCACTCTGTTGATAATGAGTTTGCCGACCACTGGTCTAACTCTTCTTTCTCTCCACCTGGGGATGTCTCATCAAACAATACAGCGTGTCCAAACGAGGATACTGACACTGTCTGAGACATCTCCATCTGCAGGGAGGAGTGTTGGTTAATGATTAGTGAGGGTTTATGTTACTGTAAATTTCAGCACCGTGTTGATTCAGCCATTGAAGTCGTTAGGACAGTAAAATCAGCTACTTGTCTCCCTTCCTTCTAAGACCTGACATCTTGCCAAAGGAGCCTCTGAATTTGCTCTGACAAAAGCCGTCTGTCCTTGTGGCACTCTTGCCCACCAGTGAATTAACTCCCTTGGTATCCACGCCCTCATGGGTCAGCCCTCTGAACTCTCCCGGCAAAAGGGAGGCAGCTGGGCTTTAAGAGTGGCCTCCAGAGGCAAACAGACATGGCTCAGATTCTAACTCGGTCCCTTACTTAGCTGATGACCTTGGAAAGAATCCTTGACTTCACTGTGCCTCAGTTTCTCCATCTACACCTTTGATTATTAGAAATAGTGCCCACTCGAGGATTATTCTGAGGGTTAAATGAGATATTGCGTGTAGTATTGAGTGAAGTGGCACAGTAATCACTGAAGAAATATTGGCAAAAAAAAAAAAAAAAAGTGGGCGGGACTTCCTGGGAGCTAAGATGGCTGCAGCAGGGTGAGAAGGGGTTGTAGGAGGGAGGAGCACAGGGCAGGCTTGGCTGCTGTTGGCTCCTGACCTTGGACAAATCACCTGTCTTCTCTAGACCCCAGCAAACTCACCTGTAAAGCAGGCATGGTTTCCAAGTGCCTGGTCCAGATTTGAGAAGTGTCCCCTCTTAGTGGTATTAGGTGCATCATGGCTGTCAGGCTCTGGAGGTCAAGGCCAGTCACCTGCCCGGGGCTCACTCTTGGGAGGAGAAGAGGGTGGCAGGTGGGTAAGGAGAGGTCATCCTTGGAATAAAAGTACAGGCATCCCTGAGATGTTATAGGTTCAGGCCGGACTACCACAATACAGCAAACATCACAGTAAAATCATGAGTCACACGATTTTTTTGGTTTCCCATGCGTATAAAAGTTATATTTACACTATATTGTGTATTAGCATTATGTCTGGAAAAAAAACAAACAACAACAATGTACATACCTCGTTAAAAATACTTCATTGCTAAAAAATTCGAACCATTATTTGAGCCTTCAGCAAGTTGTAATCTTTTTGCTGAAGGTTGCCACAATCCTCCAGTTTGTAAAAAATGAAGTATCGTCGGAGTGCAATGAAGTACAATGAAACGAGGTATGTCTGTTATGCGAAGTGGTTGTTTTTGTTGTGGCTAGGTCAGTAAATCCTTTCATTCTAAATATCATCATGTGGAACATTTATCTCTGGCACCGAGAAAAGGCAAAACAGGATCTGAGCCATGTCTGTGTGGAGAAAGAATTTTCTGAAGTATTGACTCTGACGGGCACTAAAACGATGGCTTTATTTTTATAACCTTTTCTCAGAATCCTCTGTCATGGTTATTAAATTGTCTTAAGAATGTTAATAAGCAAGTGGTGGTAAGAGGAAAGTGGTTAGCCACATGATTCACTTTTATCTGCTGGAGTATAGCATGCAAGAGAAATATGTTGGTCAGTTTTCAAATGGAGTAGTAGTTATTTCTTCTTAAGAAAGGATATCGAGAGCAAATGCCATGAGAATTTATCATTTTCTTTTAAAAATTTGTTTGAGAGAGAAACATCCATCTGTTTTTCCACTTATTTATGCATTCATTGGTTAATTCTTGTATGTGCCCTGATTGGGGATTGAACCCGCAACTTTGGCATATTGGGATGGTGCCCTAATCGTTGAGCTACTGGGCCAGATTGAGAATTTATTGTTTTCTGAGGACAACGTTCTGATTGTGTGAAGGGTTTTAACATGGAGCAGTGGCCAAAAAGTAATTTGGAACCACATAGCCCTGAGGTAGAGTCCAAGGTGGTGGTTTTTGGAAATTAGATAAACTCTCTGGGTCTCAGTTTCCTTACCTGTAAAATGGGAATAATAAAACCCTGTTCATTAGATTGTTCTGAGCCTGGAATAATATGATGCAGGCCTGATGTTTAAGAGGGTACCTGGTCCATTGATGGCTCAACTAAAAACTGTTAGTTGTTGTCATTGTCATTATCAACTTTATTGGTTAGGAGTTCCATAAAATTTTGAAAGCCTGCAGTGGGTAGGTAAGAATATCAAGAAAATAAGTATAGAAATGTTCACTCTTCCCTTATAACTTTTACGTGTTTTCATCGCTCTCTCTCTTTTTTTCTCTTAATAGGAATGAATTCTTCTAAAACCAAACTAGAACTCCAGAAGCACCTGACAACGTTAACTAATCAGGAGCAAGCAATGATCTTTGAGGAGGTGCAGGTACAGTGGGAGGTGCATTTCCGTGGGAAGAAGAGGCAGCGGCCCTCTTATGAATGTCATTTATGAGCAATAGGAGACCAGGGCTGTCACGGCCCCAGGGAAATAGCCTGAACTTCGCCTGGTTTAAGCCTGAACAGCCCCGTGGAAGGGCCAGGTCGGAATGGCAGATTCACATCAGGTCTTGGTTTTCAAGTGAAAACAACAAAACCGGGGAGTGAGGGGGGAGTGCTCTCTTAAAAATACCATTTCAGAGTGAGAGAAATTATGACGTGGAAGAACCTCAGCCCGGGGACCGAGACCTGGACTTCCGTCCCTGAGCGCTCCTCTGCTCCGTGGGTACCCTCTGCCACCCTTCTCCGTCCGGAGCTTGGCTCCGAGTAGGGAGTTGCAGGAGATGTCGTTTTCTCCACGAAGTTGAACATGAATTGTTCCTCCTGTCTTATCATTTGATTTTGGTTTGAAAATAAATGAGGATGATGTTGTCTGCTTAGAACATTATCCTATGTCAAACCTGAACAAAATACAGAAAAAAACCAAGCTTGTGGGCTTTCTGCATCAAACCCGGAGACTGCTCTCATCTTTGCATTTAGATGCCACGTATCTTGGGGAAACCACACTGTGTCCCTGCATGCCAGTGATCTGTTCATTCTGACTCTTTAAAAATATATATATATTTCTTTATTGATTTCAGAGAGGAAAGAAGGGAGAGAGAGATAGAAACATCAATGATGAGAATCATTGATCGGCTGCCTCTTGCACGCCCCCTACTGGGGATCGAGCCCACAACTCGGAAATGTGCCCTTGGCCAGAATCGAACCTAGGACCCTTCAGTCCACAGGTCAACGCTCTATTCACTGAGCCAAACTGTCGAGGGCTCATTCTGACTCTTTAATGAGCTCGTCAGCAATATCATGTCTGCTGTGGGCCAGGGCATTTTCTATGGCTTTCTGGCATTTTTCTAGGGAGTTAAGCACATCAAAACAAAGAATAAATAGCTCCTTTTGAGGGGGAAGAGAGCGGCAGGGGTCCTGCAAATGGAGGGGTTGGTAAACCACAGGAGAAGGCACCAGCTCCCCCCACTCGCTGGGGGAAAGGCTCAACAGTTAGGGCCCATGGCCTGTTTTCTGTGAGTGTGAAAAGGTAACCACCTGCTAAAGGCCTCTATCCCCGTCCTCCTCCCGCTGTAAGGCTGGCATACGTAGAAGAAGGAAAGCATAGGAAGGTTTCCTCTCTTTCGCAGACAGCTTAGGATGTGATTGCCATGACTTGTAACTGGCTTTACATTTTTCCTGTTTTCCTCCGAAGCCACTTGAGACACACCACTTTGCTTTCTCCTACAGGACCCTTAGAGTTCCGGGTACACAGTACCTTAGACAGATTGAATGTGATTGTATGTGGAGTTCATAAGTGGGTAAATGGATAAATGGATGATAATTTGCTTCTGATTATTAATGCACTTACAAAGTGCTATCAAGTCACTTTGGGGGAGCATCCTTCCAGCCAGCATAGAAGAGGCGTATTCCGCCCTGATGTGAGCTTTCTTTCTTATGTAGACATCACTGTGTAGGCAGTAGCTTTCCCCCAAACAGTGCGATGCATCAGGATAGGACACACTGAATACATACGGCAAAGAGGCTGTAGACACAGTTGTTTTTTTTTAAAATATATTTTATTGATTTTTTACAGAGAGGAAGAGAGAGGGATAGAGAGTTAGAAACTTCAATGAGAGAGAATCATTGACCAGCTGCCTCTTGCACACCCTCTACTGGGGATGTACCCGCAACCAAGGTACACGCCTTTGACTGGAATCGAACCCGGGACCTTTCAGTCCACAGGCTGACACTCTATCCACTGAGCCAAACCAGTTTCTGCTATAGACACAGTTTTACTTTTAAAAAGTATACTCGGCCGATGTGGCTTAGGGGATTGAGCGTCGTCCCACACACCAAGAGGTCGCTGTTCCATTCCTGGTCAGGGAACACGCCTGGGTTGTGGGCTTGATCACCAGTGAGGGGTGTGCAGGAGGCAGCCGATCGATGTTTCTCTGTCATCGATGTTTCTCTCTCTCTCTCTCCCTCTCCCTTCCTCTCTTTCTAAAATCAATAAAAACATTTTAAAAAATAGGGTACTCAGTCTCTCTTGGCCCCTAGAAGACCAGGTTTTTTTGATCAGTTTAAAGATCAAAGGGAAGCCATGGGCTAGAAAAGCCAGCTCAGACTTTGTCCTCTGTCACTGTATGCTCAGCTCTTCCTTGAATGATGTGCTTTTGACATGATCTTTTCTAATGACTTATTGATCGTCTTGTTGAATTATTTCCTCCATGACCGTTTGTGGTTTTTGTAAAACATTTTATAAACCAAGTCATTGGTTTCCTTTTAGGTAGCAGTGCCTGCTAATGTGTTTGAAAAATCATACATTTCAAAAACACAATAAAGGAGAAGGCGGCTTTGTGGTGTCGGGCGTCCTCTAATAAGTAGAGTGGCTCATGTTTTCCTCCTCACCGTCCTTCCTGGGGGGTGGTGTGTTCCTGAGGAATTCTCCCATGGTATCCTTCCATAAGACAAATGTCATTATTATTAAAGGGTGTGGCATATGATCACCTAAATAGTTATTGAAGTATATGCAGTCATGTTTTTTGTAAACAAATAGTTAATACTATATAATAAAGAGATAATATGCAAATCCCCCCCCCACCTGCTACCCTGGATGACCAGGGTAGCGGGGAGAGGGGGGGGGGAGGCAATGAGGGGTGACCAGGTTGGTGGGGGCAGTTAGGGGCAACCAGACCAGCAGATGGGGTCAGTAAGAGGCGACAAGGCTGGTGGTGGGGGGGGAAGTTAGGGGTAACCAGGCCGGGGGAAGCAGTTGGGGGCAATTAGGCTGGCACAGGGGGGGCAGTGAGGGGTGACTAGGCCGGTGAGGGGGGCATTTGGGGGTGACCAGGCTGGCAGGGTGGGGGAGTTAGGGAAGACCAGGCCCGTGGGGAAGGGGGCAGTTAGGAGTGACCAGGCCAGCATGCACAGGTAGTGAGGGGCAATCAGGCTGGCAAGTGGGATGAGCAGTTAGGGGCGACCAGATAGGCAGGCAGGTGAGCGGTTAGGAGCCAGCGGTCCAGGATTGTGAGAAGGATGTCCACTGCTATAGACACAGTTTTCCTTTTGGGATCGGGCCTAAACAGGCAGTTGGACATTTTTGAAAGGTCCCTGATTGGAGAGGGTGCAGGCTGGGCTGAGGAGACCCCTCCCTCCTCTGTGCACGAATTTCATGCACCGGACCTCTAATGTAAAATAAAATATAACTCAAACAGAACCATGAAGAAAGAGATGAGTACTTATTGTGCAGATGATGCCAGAGATGATCACGGCTGTAGACACGCTGACCTGGGGCTATTGGTCGCCTGGGCTATTTTTCTAAGAGGACTCCTGATGACACGGCACAGCATGTTTCTGTCTGTGGTCTGTTTGAGACGTGTACATTTCAAAGATATCCAGCTGGGCAGGGGTGAAAGAGACTCCCAGGGTCTTGCTGGCTGGCACCTGCTGGCAGAGGTGCCGTGTCCAGGCTGCTCTCTTAGTCTGAGAAGCTGCGTTGAGGCCCAGCAAGGGCGAGGGAAAGAAATGTCTCCAGAAGCAGTTCTCTTCATCCGAGTGAGCGTATTTCAGGGGATGACTGCACTCATACTGAGTAGATAAATCAAGTAGGCGTACATTCAGTAGGTGTCCAGGATGGGTTAAATAACACGGCTTTTCACCAGTTAAAAGACTAATGATTAGAGGAGCTGTTTTGCACTGTGTAAAGAAAATGGATCCCCTCCTTTGGATTTCCCACGGTCTTAAAGTGGTTTCTTACAGGTTTTGATTGTCGTTTTTAAACAAGCTGTCAGAGTGCCCTGTCCCGGCGAGTTGGGCTGTTTTAAGTCATTTGCTCCAGAGACTGTAGGCGTCCTGAGCGCTCTGCGCTCACCTGCCAGCCTGGGAATTTACCTTGAACTCATTTACCACCAGTTTATGGGTCCCTCACAGAGATAAGGTTAAGACACATTAACAAAGTTGACTTTGTTACTTAACAGACAATTCATTGTTTTCTTATTGTTGTAATTTTAAGACATTGCAGTGTAACATCACTGGAGGAAAGCGCACAACTCAGTGGTGTGTAGTTCAGGGGATTTTTTTACAAGTTGACCCATCTGTGCACTGGCACCAAGACTTTAAAGAAAAGCAAAAGCATTGCCAGTTCCTCAGAACCCCCTGGTGCTGCCCCAGCAACCCCCGCCCCGGCACCAGACACCGTAGATTAATTTTGAACAAGCAAGTTAATTTTTGACAGCAAAGTGATGTGCCCAGCTTGATTCCGCACTGTTCTCCTCTGACTTGTCTCTCTGGCTCGTGAAATCACCGTTTGGAAACAAGGATTTGCCACGAGAGAGAATGGTGATGTGACGTGGGAGGTAGGGGGAGAAGACACCTTGCTCATGGTTTAACTCAGTGGAATGGTAGCCCTTTCCGAGTTGTTTGAAGGAAGGGTTTATTCTTGACCTTGACGCCACGATGAAAACCCACTTCCAGCTCAGGTGACTTTTCTGTGCTGGTTAACAGGCCCCGGGATGTGACGCGGCCTCAGGTTCTGGCCTTCCAAATTGTTTCTGTTTTGTAGACTTTGAGGAAAAGAAAATGCATTCATACTGCTCTTTATTCCGGCATTCTTAGCCTTTTTTTAAAAAATATATATTTTGAAATAAATGATCATGAAGAATTTCTCCAAGAAAAATATACATTTTCTTGTGAGAGTAGCCAGAGGTTTGAGTTAAAAGATGCAGGAGAAGAGAGAGTGGGTCAGCTCTCACTGCCTGTGCCTGCTGAGGGGCCTCGTGTGATTCCTTTCTGTTCCTCTTTTCTGGACTTGAAAAAAAAAAAAAGGACTTTATTCCATAGAGTGGCTTTAGTTTTTCATTAAATTGGGTGCAAAGTACAGCGTGTTCCCACGTAAACTCCCACCTCTGTGCCTCCCACCCCAGCCAGTTCCCCTGCTAATAACATGTTGCCTAAGTGTGTGCACTTGTTACCATTGACGAGGCGTTATTATTCACTGAAGTCCATCGTTTACCAGGGGTTCACTCTCGGTGGTGTACAGCCTGTAGGTCTGACAGATGTATAAAGACACGTGTACAGCCTTACGGTGTCATCCAGAATTGTTTCACTGTCCGAAAATTCCTCTGCGTTCTGCCTGCCCCGCCCTGCCTCCTCCCTCCATCCCAGTCCTCCAAACCCCAAGCAACCACTGACCTTTCTACTGTCTCCGGTTTTGTCTTTTCCACACTGTCATATATAATAGTTGGAACCATACAGAATACAGTCTTTTCAGATTGGCTTCTTTCACTTAGCAATAGGCATTTAAGGTTCCTGTAGGTCTTTTCATGGCTTGATAGCTCTTCTCTCTTTAGAGCTGAATAATATCCCATTGTCTGGAAGGAACAGTTGATCAATTCACCTACTGAAGGAGGACATCTGGGTTGCTTAAAACTTTTGGCTATTATAAATCTGCTGTAAACATTTATATGCATGTCTTTAAAAATATTTTTATTGATTTGAGAGAGAGAGAGAGAGAGAAATATCAATGATGAGAGAGAACCATTGATTGATTGGCTACCTCCTGCATGCCCTCTACTGGGGATCAAACCTGCAACCGCAGGCATGTGCCCTTGACCGGAATTGAACCCAGGAGGACCCTTTGATCTGCAATCTGACACTCTACCCACTGAGCCAAACCAGCTAGGGATATATGCAAGTTTTTCTGTGGACATAAATTTTCAACTCATTGGGGAAAATTCTAAGCAGTGCAATTGTATGGTAAGAGTGTGTTTAGTTTTTTAAAAAGTGCCAGCTATCTCCAAAAGTGGGTGTACCATTTCTACTCCCATTGGAAACCAATGAGTTTCTATAGCTTCCTGGGCTTTTAAACTCACAGGTGTGAGCATACCCCCTGGGTCACAGGGCTAAGTTGGGATTGTGGTCCTTACCACCACTTTCCTTTACTGGCGATCTGATGGGACCTTTCCCTGGAGAAGTCCACTTGTTGAATAAAACGTGTATGGTTTTATAACATCAAGGTTCATGGCTTGGAATCCAGGTGGGAAGCATCTGTTCTAGCTCCTAAAATATTTAATCCTTAAATCTGAAATTTGAAAGAACAGAAGGTCCTCAATAAAAAACAAACAAACAAAAAACACCCTTCTAATTATTCACTGTATTTCCCTTGAGTAACTGGAACAACTTATTTTTAAAAGTGATCTTTTTCTTTAAGGGATCGAATGTCAGAAGGTCTCAGTTAGTGCTGCTTTTCCTTCTCAGGCCCATGCCATGAAGGGTGAAATCGTTGTTCCTTCATTAGCTGGGGAAGGAGGTTGCTGAGAGCAGCATCGACCCAGACTCGGGTGCTTGTAGAGTGGGTCCATTTATCGCTCCCTGACTTTGTGTCAAAGGGCAGGTTAGAAGTGTGGCTTAGGGAGAGAGGTCCAGGAGCCGGACAACGGATAATTGTCCATCTAAAAAGGATGCATTTCCGAAGTTTATAGACTAGACTAGGGGTGTCGAACTCAATCAGAGAAGGGGCCAAAATCTAAAATCCAGCCTAAATCGCGGGCCGAATGGTTTACTGAACAGTCATAAACTGTCATTGTGATGGAAACGCAGCGGAGTGCAGTGATGACAGCGCGGTGCGGGCCACATTGCAAGGCCTGGCGGGACGGATTTGGCCCGCGGGCCTTGTGTTTGACACATGTGGACTAGACATTTTGTGCATCTCCAGAGCAATTCAGTTTTGTTTTCTTCAGATTCAGTGAAAATAAACCACTAAGTTAGATGATCTTCTGAAAAAGAACTCTGACTAGTAATTCCAAACCCAAAGGATGTGGGAGCTGGAGGAGACCATGAGTGTGTCTCGTGCACCAGCTTCATTTGAACAAATGAGGATGCTCAGATTGAATTACGCCTTTGGTCACAATTTAGGCAGCACCTACGGCTTCCAGTTCCTCATTCCTGCTCCCCTGGGCTTTGCCGCCACCCTGCCTGAAAAGTAAAAGATGCGGAGAGAATTTTTTAAATAGGAAGGAAAAAAAATTGAGTCAGTGCCATGACATTTTGTGTGCGAGTTCATGCCTTGTGGGGCTTGTGGAAAGTGCTTGCTGACGAACACATGTGACATATGGAACCACGACCCTGGGCCCGGTCGCTCTTTTTCTTTCCATTTCGCTAACCATCAGCGTTTATAAATGTGTAGCCACCATGGCTCTTGACCTCTGGGTGTTTACACAGATTTTGTTCTTTTCTTCTGTGTTCAAGACTATTTGTTTATTAAATATTTTGACTAAGCCTCTATCTGATGTGAAATATTTATTTTAGGTATAAGGACGTCAGAGGTCAAAAGCTAAATCTGTCCCACCAGCTAGTTCCACTGTTTCTTTTTTTAAAATTGATCTCCCTTTTTGGGATCATTGGTGCCCCCTAGTGAGATGATTGAGTAAAAGCACTAACTAATGAATGGAAGGACACGGTTAGCATTGCCAAAGGAATGGGTTTAGCAGTTTTGTTGACAATAAAAAAAATAAATGCAATATATTCTTCTTCTTCTTCTTTTGTTTTTAAAGAAATTGAGACCGAGAAATGAGCAGCGAGAGAATGAAATGGTTATTTCTTTCCTGAGATGTTTATATGAAGAGAAGCAAAAAGTTCACACCCATATTGGGGAGATAAAGCAGGTATGGCATTTTTCCCCCTCTTCTCTTGATTTTACCAGGACACCGTGTACAAGAATCCCGAGGATGTGATGAGCTCTGAAAGCTGTCTTTGCCCCTGTGTGTTATGTGCACTTGTTATGCATGCAGGGAAGATTGGGGAGTATTCAGACTGTGCTGAGACGGGGAGACGGTTCTGCTCCATAGAGCGGATGGAGTGACGTTTCAGAGTACCCTCTGCCACAGGCTCCTGAATCGAGGGAGCCAGCCTCTGCCACCTCCCCTCTCTCCCTGGTAGAGTGGGAGTGACATCAAAAAGCCGCCTTCAGAACTGCATGAAGTGCCTGGAGGGTCTTTGTGGCATGCAGGCTGTGTGAACACAAGCTGTGCTATTCAGATAGGAAACTCCTCTCGGTCCCCTTTCAGTCTGCCCGCCCTCTGCTACTGTCCACAGCTTTGTCTGGCTTTTCTGTTTGGGGGTGGGTGCTGTGTCAGGCTGGAGCTGCCTGCAGGTCTCTGTCTGTGAGGGGCTGCCAGTTTGGGGTTCAGTCCACACAGTGCCGTGGACCACTTTTGTGTGTCTTTTGGATTCTGTGACAGTCAGTTCATAATAACCAGTATTGCTTCAAAACATGCATTTTGTATTTGTTTAGATTATATGGAGGCCAGTAAACCTAGAGAAAAATCAGTGAAGGATATTTAAAGAAGTACTCAATTTTTCAAAAGTATATTATAGCCTTTTTTAAAAAACACACCAATGCTCGTTCTAAAGGTGCTTTAACGTCCAGCTGTGTGCCCTGTCCCCATTACCGGCCCCTGCTGTTCTGCTAACCTCACCGTGAGGCCGTTTTACAGGGATGCACATGTAGCAACTCTCCCGTTTACTTATACCTTCCTGAACTCTCGGAGCTCACTGCAGGGTTTTTAATCTCACTGGCCAGCTATAGGCTCCCTCGGCAGTGGTGCGAATGCCAGTCCACTGTCTGTGTCCTCGGCCTCTGACCTTTGTGGTTGACCTTCCTCCCTCCCACACGCCCTTGGGGAGTTCTGTGCGCCTCCTGTCCCTTGGGGATGGGCCACTCCACCCAAGTTTTCAGTTCATTCTTAGTTCCATTTTCAACCTATTTGTTCTTATTTCCATTGCTCCCCCGCTTTGGTACCACTAATAGTGTTTCCTTGTTCTGATCTCTTCCCCCCCCCCCCCCCAACTTGTTCCAACAGGAAATTGGTAATTTTGAGGTGATTTGTAACTGCTAGAGAGAAATAAAGCACTTAGGGTGGATGGGAAGTTTTGACTTAGGTGCCAGTTCACTTTTAAGGAGTAGGTAGTATCTTTATGATTTGGGCATAGATTGGTCCAGTGGAGAAATACATTTAATAGTTTTTTTCTATGTGGAAACGCCAGATAATTGAATGTGAAAGAGGCCAAGCCCCAGCACGTGGAACTGGCGCCAGGGCAGCACTCTCTCTGGAGGTTCCTAAACATTCTGCTACCCTGGAGGCTCACGTCTGCCTGTAAGGAAGAGACCCTGGTCCCCAGATGTGTTTGGGTGTCCCCAACATCATCTCCAAAGGAGAAACTTCTAGATGCTTATTTTAAAATAAACAAGGAATAGGTTATTTTTTGGACATGAATTACTTTGTAAACATGCATTATTTTCTCAGTGTGAATTATGTTTCAATTATATTTGTATTGTGATGATAGACATACAAAACCTCTCATTAGGTGGGAGAGGAAAGGAAGCATTGAGTGCAGGGAGATGCTTACGGCTGGGTTTAAAAAGAGAAAAACGCAAGTGCAGATTTTCTTCTGTCTGTAGCATCTGCCATGTAGTACTAAGCTTTTAGCCAATGTTTTCTTCATGTATCAAAACAATCCACTCTAGCCCTAGCCGGTTTGGCTCAGTGGGTAGGGTATAGGCCTGTGGACTGAAGGGTCCCAGTTCTATTCCAGTCAAGGAAACATGCCAGTGTTGCAGGCTCAATTCTTTGGGGAGGCAGCTGATCAATGATTCTCTCTTATCATTGATGTTTCTATCTCTCTCCCTCTCTCCATTTTTCTCTGAAATCAATAGAAACATTAAAAAAAAAAAACACCAATAATCCACTCTAAATGCTTCTATTTTATGAAAACATGTGTTATGGGGTTGAAAGCAGATCCACGGCCTCTTAACCTTGTGAGTGAGTGGGTGTCGGTCAAAGGCAGTCCCAGAGGCCCCTGTGGATAACTCCCTTTGCTCTGGAGGCTGCTGCGAGTCAGGACAGGCTTTTGTTCTTGGTAAATGATTGCTCAGGACCAGTTGTAACTAGTAAGGCACCTGCCCGCAGTACATGATGCTTGTCAGACACTTGGAATTCGTTGAGTGCACCTGTAAGTGCAGGTGTGTGTTTCCCATGGACCTGCCTGCTGACCATTGCTCCCGCATTCATTCCTCAGCAAGCAGGTTTGGGCTGTGCAGAGCATGCTCAGTGTACTCAGTGAAAACACAAAGCTAAGTGGTAGTTCCCCTTCTTGAAGTTCTGAGCTAAGCCATTCTTTAAAGCATGTGCTAATTCTTATAGAAGTAAAACCCTGGCTGACCGGACAAAGTCGAACAAAGCTCTGACCAGAACCGTTTCTCTTTTATGCTTTGAGAAATGTGTAACATTCACTGGTGAATTAGGGTTTTATTATGTCAAAGAAGTTGTAAGGTCTTTGACCAGTAAATAACTGCATAAATTTTTAAAGAATACTTAATCACAATGGTAATCCGAGGAAGACAAATTGAGATATTCATACCCAAGCCACTGGCAGAAGTTTAAAAATCTGACAATACCACGTAAAGGTGAACTCTCATTTGCTGATGCTTGGATTATGAATTGGTACTATTATAAGGGAGAGAAATTTGATAGTATCTAGTGTAGCTGAAGATGCAGAGGCCCAGCAACCCAGCAAGGACATTCCTAGTTCCTTGTGAAAATTTCATTTGTGTGATAAGGAGCTACGTACAAGACAGGTTACTGCAGACTCTTTTGTAAAAGCAAAAAAGGGAGTCAGTGTTTAACAGCAGAAATATGAATAAACTTTTATGATAGTACATTTTGATTGAAGTGAGTAAATTAAAGAACCTTTGTTGATATGGAAATCTAAAAAACAACATTGAAAGAAAAATGGTAGTTATAGAAGGGTTTGTACAGGATGACATATTCATTTAAGCTCCAACTATGTGTAAACCAACATACATGTTTTTTGGCTACAAACGTATATGAAAGTGCAAAAATGTGAGTTGCTATGATAAACACCCCATTCAGAAGAGAGGTTATTTCTGCAGATAGAGGAAGGAGAGTGATTCAAATATGGAAATCATTTTTTTTTCTATTCAAAGTAGAAAGCAAATGGAGAGATTAGCTAATATTGATGTTTACTGTATGTTTAAAGTGCTTTAATGTGTATTAATGTATTTAAATCTTGTAACTGCTCCGTGAGGAAGGTTCATTGGGCATCCTCAGTCTGCAGGTAGAGGAACTGAGAGAGGCGGCTGGTGATGGTAAGCTGCCTGAGGCCACATATCGAGGGAGAGAACCAGAGCCCAAACCCCTCACTGTTCTCAGCCAGAGGGGTGCCTGATGTAAAACCATCAGGTAACACTTCAGAGAAGTAGGAAGCAGTGTGTCTATGGATTTTGTAGTGTTTGTTTGTTTTTTTTTAAATATGCCTCTCTCTTAATAAATGACGTTAAACTTCCTTAGTGGTTGCCAAACAAACCCCATTATGTTGCCAGTTTCCTATCATGATCAGTTAGGGGAGAGAAGCCTGGTGGAAGAGGGGAATGACAGGGGAGATGGAAACAATAGGTGGGAGAGAAGACAAAGCTCTAAAAAATGCAGTGAAAACTGGCATTGGCAGGGAGAAGGAATCTTCAGTTGGTAAACTTATCCTGCCCTCCGAAATGCCCCAGAAGGTAAATTGTTACTTCCCTTTGAAAAGCTGACCATGGCTGCTACCTTTGTACCAGAGGCTGTGCCCCGTGCTTTACTGGCTTTACCTGTTTTAATCTCAGAACACAGCCTTACGATTAGATCTTGAGGTTGGGCTCAATTTACAGAAGAGGGACTCGCAGCCCAGAGAAAGTAAGTGACTCGCCCAAGGCCGGTTAGTGAATGACGGATCTCTGCTCCGGCTATAGAGCACAAGCTCTAAACTGCTTTGCTGTGTGGCTCCCAAGCACATTTCTGCGTTTCGCTTGGAGCAGGTAAAGCAACTCTTTGAGGCAAAACTATTTCCTGGACTTGCAGCCCTGTCACCGAGGAGAGGCGAGATGAGGGTAGAAGAATGGCCTGGGGTCAGAAAGATGCATCCAAGCGGTTCTTCATCCCTTTAAGAAGGAGAAAAGAAGGGAAGTTGTGACTCAACTTTCCGGTGTTTCACTTTTTTAGACGACACAGATTGCAGCAGAGAATATTGGAAGTGAGTTACCATCCACTGCCACTCGGTTTAAGCTGGACGTGCTGAGAAACAAAGCAAAAAGGTCTTTAGCGGAGTCTCTGGAAAGTATTTTGTCCCGGGTAAGTAGCATCATTTCTCCTGACTTAAGTCACTTTTTAAAAGAGTGTATGATTCGATTTGTTACTTTTTCCACTTTGTGCGCTCATCATAAAGTACAGAGGGTGAAATCTTTTTTAATGTCTTCCCAATCTTATAACATTGTTTTCTACCCTTTAATTTCAGTTTTTAACCTGGCATGGGTGAAACAAACTTTTTGTGTTATGTTATATATTATCTCATGGAATTTTTTGTCTCGCCCTAAAATGCTGTTCGTTGGCTAGTTTCTGTAAAGGACACGGATCAGATACACCCAGCGTGGGTCCGTTCTCCCTGGTGTCACTTGGCACAATGCAAGAATCCAGTTTCTGCCCACAGCTCTTGTTTTGTACCTGGAACTCTCTGTGGCAGGGTCAGCAAACTACAGCCATCAGCGCAAATACCACCCACCTCCTGTTCCTGTGCGTGAAGGTTTACTGAAGCCCAGCCACATCCATTCATTCGCTGGTTGTCCAAGGCTGCGTTTGTGCAGACTGGAGTAGTTGCCATGGACACCACATGGCCCACAAAGCGTAGGAGATGTGTTTTCTGGCCCTGTACAGAAAGCTGTGGACTGCAGCTCTGTGGGAATAGAGATAGAAAGGATACATAAGCACTGATACGGGAGTTCTTTAAGAAATCACACTTCCCCAGCCCATAAATGGCACTTCTCAGAAATCAAAATGTGATAACCTTTCTGGAGCTTGCAATATCATCTTATAGTACTCTCTTTATTTCCTGACACACTTATTTAAAAAATACGCTGCATTTTTTTTTTTAGTTAAAATTAATTTTTATTTTGTTTGAAGATGCTTCTGAGAATTTTGCAGCATCCTTAGACATAATTGAAAACAGTCCATTTACAAAGCTGGGCGTGGGGTGGCTGTCTGTGAGAGTCCCACATGCACAGAATGTTGTGAGTGTCAGACAGCCAGCCTATTAAAACTGCCAATTGACTAGTCCATGGTGTCCTGGGGCATTTAGGTTGGTTGGTTGCCTTCCTGTGTATGTGTGCTGAGCAGCATTTCTCAGAGATGCCTTTTCCCTGACTTGACTCCCATGCACCGCGATGCAGCTAGCTGACGCTTTTGCAGGAGCCTCAGGGGTCATAACTCAACTGCCTTTTCTTCACATAGGGTAATAAAGCCAGAGGTCTTCCGGAACATTCTGCCAGCCTGGATCTGGACTGCTCCATGTCTAGCACGTTAAATAACACCAACAAAGTAAGCACATTTTTCTTTATATGGAGCCCTTCAGGGGCCAGCAAATAGGCCTTGTTCACCTTCTCTCTATGGAGCCTGTCTAAAGGGACAAGGGAGCCAAAACCGGTTTGGCTCAATGGATAGAGCGTCGGCTTGCGGACTGAAGGGTCCCAGGTTCGATTCCAGTCAAGGGCATGTATCTTGGTTGCGGGCACATCCCCAGTGGAGGTTGTGCAAGAGGCAGCTGATTGATGTTTCTGACTCTCTATCCCTCTCATTTCCTCTCTGTAAAACATCAATAAAATATTGTATATTTAAAAAATAAATAAAGGGCTGGGACCGGTTTGGCTCAATGGATAGAGCGTTGGCTTGGGGACTGAAGGGTCCTGGGTTCGATTCCGGTCAAGGGCATGTACCTTGGTTGCGGGCAGATCCCCAGTTGGGGGTGTGCAAGAGGCAGCTGATCGATGACTCTCTCTCATCGATATTTCTAACTCTCTATCTCTCTCCCTTCCTCTCTGTACAAAATCAATAAAATATATTTAAAAAATAAATAAAGGGACAAGGAGGCCTTCTATCTCCATTCAAGAAAAGTTGGGTGGTTTCTGTCTCCATGGTGCCGTGGAGGCTGGCCACGCAGTTAGACCATGACACAGACGTTTCACATGGCTCGGCAGATGCCATTCCGTAAACCCGTGGTAAGCAAACTGTGGCTCTTGAGCCACATGTGGCTCTTTGGCCCTTTTGAGTGTGGCTCTTCCACAAAACACCACGAGTCTATTTTGAAGAAGTGGCGTTAGAAGAAGTTTATGTTTCTAAAACGTGGCTCTCCAAAGAAATGTCAATCGTTGTACTGTTGATACTTGGCTCAGTTGATTAATGAGTTTGCCGACCACTGTCGTAAACAGAGAATCGAGATCGCACATTCAGACCCCTAAGATGGGATTTATTGCAAGCCACAGTGGATTTCTTTCCCAGGTAGCTTTTCCAATGTTAAAAGTAACTGAAATTGGGCAAACCTCAGAAGTGGGTTCGTGAATTCTGAGAAGGATGCAGCTCCAGTTCCTGGACCTTCCTTCATCCTCCAGCTGGCTCTGCGACGGCGATTAGACGTTTCTGTTCTATTTAAATAAGCTGCCTCGCTCCAGCCGAGCCTCTGCCTCAGCCCAGGCTGGTGACGGTGACCAGGCAGTGGCTCTCTTTGGTGACCAGCCCGTGTCCTTGGTTTAGTTTCTTGCTTTCTAGACATTTAAGCTACTGAAGCTCGGTGAGCTCAGTTTGTTCACCACCACCAAGCGGGTTTCGGGTTTTGTGCTAAGGAAGCCAGCGTTCCTTCTGCTCCCCAAGGGCTTGAGATTTAAGAAAGAGGGAACTTGTGTGGTGGCCGGCGCCTTCCCACGGGGACTCCAAGATCTTCTGAGATCCCTACTGAGCTCGTGGCTTTTAAAGTTTTTAGATCATAACCAACAGTAAGAAACACATGCCACACTGCGAAACGGTTCACAAACACATACATACACACTCACTCAAAAATTTCACAAAATTAAAATTTCACAAAATAATGTTTACCGTAAACAATGAGTGACACGTGCTGGTGTCCTCTCTTCCCTCTGAAAAGAGTTCACGCACAGCTCTCAGCTGCCATCGCTGCCTGCTGACGTGTTCCCATCTGCAGAGGGAGGAGGTCCACCTGCCACGAGTGCTTCTCAGACCCCGAGGGGCGTGCTCGGTGGGTTCTGGTTAAAATGCAGACTCTGATGCCACAGGCCTGGCAGGAGGCCAGAGACTCTGAACTCTTTTTTTTTTTTTTTTCAAATATATTTTATTGATTTTTTACAGAGAGGAAGGGAGAGGGATAGAGAGCTAGAAACATCGATGGGAGAGAAACATCGACCAGCTGCCTCCTGCACAGCCCCCACCGGGTTTGTGCCCGCAACCAAGGTACATGCCCTTGACCGGAATCGAACCTGGGACCTTCCAGTCCGCAGGCTGACGCTCTATCCCCTGAGCCAAACCGGTTCCAGCGACTTTGAACTCTTGACAAGTGCCAACGCGAAGTCCTTGCTGTGGTCGGGGAACCCACTTTGGGGAGTGAGAACCCTAGACACTAGTCTTCTGAGTATGATCTGAGTTAAAATCCAGCAGAAGTGCCAAGGTCAGCTGCCCTTCACTCACTTCGTACTGATGGTACCTTGTGATTCATTCACTTGGAAACATTGTCGTTTCTCTGCTGTACACAGAGGGCTGGACGGGTTGGGAACGTGTCTGTAGGAGAGGAGACAGGCCCACAAGGAACACCAGCACCTGGGAGGAGCCCTGAGGTTTGGGTGAGGGACGGTGGTGACCTGTGGTCACTGTGAGGGGAAAGGGACCAGGGAAGTTTGGAGAGGAGAACAGTGAGGCTCTTAAATGGGATCTTGAAGGAAGGGTAGGAGGTGTGCTGGTGGAAGCAGATGGGGAAGAGGGTGTTTCAGGTAGACCACTGCGCATAAAGGTAACCGTGAAGACACGCATGTCACCCAAGTGACTTTTCCAGTAAGTCTTGCCTGTTTTTTTATCCTTCTCCAAAACACACATCTGGGAATATACACATAGCTTGAGTTTCTACAGTAGTTCTAGGAAAAAGGCAGCTTTTCAGAAGCCGCCTGTGTGTATTGTGTGTGTATATTTTTTAAAAATATAATTTATTGATTTTTTTTTTTTTTTGCAGAGAGGAAGGGAGAGGGATAGAGAGTTAGGAACATCGATGGGAGAGCAACATTGATCAGCTGCCTCTTGCATACCCCCTACTGGGGATGTGCCCACAACCAAGATACATGCCCTTGACCGGAATCAAACCTGGGACCCTTCAGTCCGCAGGCCGGTGCTCTATCCACTGAGCAAAACCGGTTTTGGCTGACAAACAGGCATTTAAAGGGCCTTTATTTCCTTATGGATTGTGGTGGCTTCCACCTGGCATTTTGATCAGATGTGCTTACATATCGGACTGTTTTCCTACTGTGGGGGTTAGAGCTTTGTAAACCCCACAGATTTCCCGGGATCCGTCTGATCTGTCTGTCTGTCTGTCTGTCTGCCGCCAGGAGCCCTCCGTGTGTGACAAGGAGGCCTTGCCCGCGTCCGAGAGCAGAACCAGGCTCCTGGGCTCCTCGGACGACCCGCCGTCCGGGGCCGTGGAGAGCCGCCCCGCGGAGGAGCCTGCCCTGCTCTCCCCGCAGCTGGGCCAGCGGAGGCGGGCGAACACGCTGAGCCACTTCCCCGTGGAGAGCCCGGAGCCCCCGGAGCCCGCCCAGGACTCCCCGGGGGGCTCGCAGAGGAAGCTTATGAGGTACCACTCCGTGAGCACAGAGACGCCTCACGAACGAAAGTAAGGTTTGTTTGAAACGTACATCTGTTGTGTGTGATGGCTGGGCCATACCTGTCCCTAAGCAGGTGTGTGCGTCCCAGGTATGGTTAGTGGGTCAGAGAGATCCGAGTCAGGCTTTACTCTTGACTTAAGGAGATAAAACTTGAACCAGTGGCACGCTCCTTCTGCTTGCCCCTCCCGCCCCTACCCCGTGGGAAAGGGAGATGAAGCATTACTTGTCACCAGTGTTGGCGAGAAGCAGGAGAAACCGGGCAGAAACGACCCCGAGGGCGTATGAGGATCATGCCTCCAGGAGGGCCAGGCGGTGCTGACCTTGGCCCTCAGCTCATGGCTTTGAGGAGAAGTGGGGAGTGGGCCAGCCCGGCGGGTGCTCCCCTGACCGGGAGCATGTCCTTGGAGGGAGCCGAGGGGCCACGTGGCCACCTGTGCTGGCCACCTGGGCCCCGGCCCCAGCTCTGACCCGAACTGGCTGGGACCTGCTTAAGTCTCTCCATGACAAAATTGGAACAGGTGTTTTCTAAAATCTCAGTGGGTGGGAAGATCCTAGACTCTTGTAACAAGATTTGCTAATTCTAATAATCGGGCTGGAATGGGAATTTTTTTGGCCCACACACGGGTAAGTACTCCAGGAACAGACGTTCTCCTGTTGCACCTGGGGTCTGTCCCTGGGCAAAGCATTGGGCCCTAAGTGTCAGAGACCACAAGTGGACAGAGTTACCTTTAAAAATAACGGTAACACACCTTTTACAACCCCTGGCCTCATGAACGCGAAGCAGGGCCGCACCTGCCTCCCACAGAAGCCACCGGAGCGGTGTCAGCGCAGGTCCTGCGCAGACAGTGCACAGTCCACCCGGGGGGCGGGGGGCGGGGGGCGGGGGTGAAATGTTCCCAGTGAGGAAGTGACGGCAGTGACAGTCCTTAACCCATGCAGCAGGGCAGCCATTGGCAACAGTTGGGGCAGTTCTTTGGAATTTTCTGGATAATCATGATTCCCAAGCAGGACGCACTTCAGAAGCTAATCTTTGATACTACGACATTTTGAGAGACAAACACAGTTGGAGGCCTCGTGAGGTTCTTGTCATGTGTCTTCAAGCCCTGTACTCACACTGGGTCCTTTTATCTTCCTCTGCACTGGGTTGCCACACTCCATCCGGGCTTTTTCAGTGCGAATGCAAACTTTCCTGTCTGGAGAGGCCTGGTTCTCTTGCTCATAAGCCTGGTGTTTCACACAAGGCAGAGGTGGGGGGAATCCGTGTCCCTGACGGCGCATTCCCCTTCTCCCCTGAGAATGCAGCTTCCTGATGGGTCCTGCCGGACACAGGGGCTGAGAGGCAGGGGGGAGGGAGAAATCTCTCCCCCCGACTCTCTCTAACCTCCTCCTCCCCTCCCCCTCTCCCCTACCTATTGCACTTTCCGCCCCATAGGAACTCTTCTTGCTTATGTCCGGGAAATGAGACATTGACATTCAAGGCAGGTTATTGTTCCTTTTCAAGAGAGATGTATTTTTAAAACTCTGGAATCTGGTTTGCTTTTCTTCGCTTTTGTTTCAATTGAATTTTTTTCCTGTCAGTTCCTAAAAAAGGGGATAGAGGAAACAGTACTATTGGAACTTTTGGAGATATGTGGGAAATGATCAAGAATGACCTTTCACAATACTCTTTGTTTTGCTAAAAACTGCCTTTGCCGATGAGAGTCGGGATGCAGACACGAAGTGAGACAGTGACCTCCTGCCCGCTCTCTTGTGCCCTCCCGCCCCCTCTGGCCCCTCTGCCTCTAAACGCCGGTGCTTTCTCTCTACTTGCTACCTAGTGGGAACCATCCACCTGTTGACGAGTCTAAAAGTTGCTCAGGTCCTTCAGTTCCTGCTCCTCCACCTCGTCTTAACCCCTCCGCCTCCTCACCAAATTTTTTTAAGCACCTAAAACATAGCCCGAGCGGAGAACCAGGCGGGAGTGCCGTGCCCAAGAGGTGAGCTCACTCGCATGGCAAGCTCAGTGTCGTCTGTCTTCCCCGGAGGTTCGCACAGACAGGATGTGCTGCATGGAGGGGGTCTGGGCCACGAGTGTGTGTTTTATTGTTTTCATTATTTTCAGTCTATCATTTGAACTGACTTAATTTTACTATTGATTAGTTTTCTCAAAATTAATTCCCCCCCCCAAATTTTAATTTTCTCAAAAGGTCGTGATGGCAAGCCATTTGTACAATATATACTTACTGTCACATTCCCCTGCCCCAGTACACACACACACACACACACACACACACACACACAAACACAGGTGCTCGCGTGCACACATACTTGCGCGCGCACACACACACACACACACAAACAAACACAGGTGCTCGCGTGCACACATACATGCACGCACACACACACACATACATTAACAACACGTATTTGACCTTACACACCGCAGTTTGTGCCACATCAGAAATGCCCTCATTAATTTTTCCAGTTTGAAAGAAAGTCATTTTGGAAGATGGACTGATTTTCTTGGTGGTTTTGATTTTCCTTTATTCTGGGAAGAGTGCTTATCAGGAGATCGGCACTCTTAAAAGTGTTTGAAGGGGCCCACACCATATTGGTAACCCTGGGCACCGTGTTGCATGGCAGCTCTCTGAATTTATTCATCTCGTATAACTAAATGGGCTGATGCTTTTACACTAACTCATTGGTTCCATTCATTTAAAATGGAATTTTATTAACTGAGAAATTCAAGTTGCATCTCCTCACTTGTTTTAATTTCCCACCTGGTTTACTTTCTCTTAGCATTAGAACTAAAATGTTGCTTTAATTTTGAAGCTGGTGTTTTTATTCTTCATATGTTTGTATTTCTTTATCCTGAACTCTGTTTTCAACCGAACTCTCAGCACCTCCTACCGCAGTGCCCTGCGGAGAAAACTCCACTCTTCTTCCTCTGTGCCAAATTTCCTAAAATTTCTGGCTCCTGTAGATGAAAATAACACCTCTGACTTTATGAGCACAAAAAGGTAGGGTTTCCTTTAGATATTTCAAGCCTGGGTAGAACGTTGAACTGTTAGACATACAGGGATTTTCAGCTGTTCCTTTGCCATTTAAAAAGTCCTTTTAGCTAAATTTATCGTGTCTTCTTTCTTACTTTTTTTCTTACTGAATGCCATTTAAAAAATGTATTGTCAGCCTTTTCTGATTTTGACGAGGATTCGTTTATTAATAGGCTATTGTTTTCAGAAGAGTAAAGCAGGTCTTAACCAGTTCTCTAAGTGACATTGGCGCTGTGGGTAGTGAGCATGTGGCTGGGCGTCTGATCTGCAGGTGCCGGTGATTGCTTAGTTATGGGTATGTACACAAGGTGGGCAAAAGTAGGTTTACAGTTGAGGATACACAAAATACAGTTTATTTTGTATGATTATTTATTAATTATTGTATTATTTTCCATATGAACAAATGTAAGCCTACTTTTGCCCACCTCTGTATAAGTACACACACTTAGGTGTAAATTATAAAGGCTTCCTTCTCCAAGTTGTCCTGTGAATTGGAAGCACATTAATGACTTGATGTTATATTAAATATAAAAGTTTAAGTGGCCCTTACGACCCGACCCGTCAACCGAACAATATGTCAACCGGTCGCTATCACAATGCACTATCCACCAGGGGGCAGACATTCAACACAGGAGCTGCCCCCTGTTGGCCAGTGCACTCCCACAACCAACCTCCCCTGGCCAGCCAACCTCCCCTGGTCCCTGCCCCTGGCTGGCCCCGATAGGGACTGGACAAGACGGCCTGATCGGCCCAATCACCTGCCAGGCCAAGGAACCCCACCCTTCCACGAATTCATGCACTGGGCTTCTAGTTTATGTATATTGATAAATGTTCTGTGTTTTGTAGTTTTAAAAATACAAATGTTAAATCAGCAGTCATCAGCAAATGACCGAGTAATTACTGCCTTGGCGGCTCTATGTAATTTAACTTTTGTATTTTGTGTGGTGGCCTGTGCTGAGAAAATATCCCCACAGCCAGACCAGGGAGGAGTGTGGCCCTGGTGACAGTGCCCCCTGCAGGCAGTTCCTCTGCATAATGAAGTTGGGCCTCCAGAGAGGCCCAGATGGAAGCTAAGGATTCGCTGAACATATTTCTAAATATCTTTTACAATGGAAATAAACGAGGGCATGTGCTCTCACCCTTTCTATGCAGAGTCTCCTGTAAGGAAGCAGGAGTGATGGCCCATTCTGTGCTGGACTTAACTTCTGCAGTCATCAAATTTTATTCCTTATGCAAAAATAATTGATATTGTAATGCATTGTTTAAAAACCAAAAACTTAAAGCTAAAATACCTGTTCCTAACTCCTCACCAGTGACAAGTCAATTGCCTTGTAATTGTAGGGACTTTGACTCCAAAGCCCACCACCTGGGCGACCCCAGTGGGACCCCCGTGAAGACGCGGAGACACTCGTGGAGGCAGCAGATATTCCTCCGCGTGGCGACCCCGCAGAAGGCGAGCGACTCGCCCAGCAGATACGAAGGTGAGGCTCGCCCCTGACACGAAGCTGCTGGATTCTGGCGTGAGTTCTACCTGCACAAAAGCGCATCAGTGGGCCAAGAGCTGACATGGGATTCCCAGGCGGAACCTCCCCTGGTTTTAAAGCTCCCTGGGCGAGAAGCTCAGACACAGTGCTTATCGCTGCTTTCAGAGGTCCTCTCGGCAGCTGCCAGCACCTTGGGGGCGCCTCTGCCCTGGCCGGTTTGGCTCAGTGGATAGAGCATCAGCCCCAGGTCTGAAGGCTCGAAGGTTCGATTCTCGTCAAGGGCGGTACCTGGGTTGTCGGGGCACATGTGGAAGGCAAACAGTCAATGTGTGTCTCTCACATAGATACTTCCCTCTCTTCCTCCTTCTCTCCCTCCCTCTCTCCCTCCCTCCACTGTCTCTAAAGATCAATGTCAGGTGAGGATTAAAAAACAAACCAGCATGCGCCTCTGCCGAGCTTCTGTGCTTGCTTCCCACACTGCCCCTGGTAGGGTTAGAGGCTCAGCCTGTCACCCCCACTTCCCGCCTTCCCTCCTCGCTGAAAGCTTGCCTGCATTCCCTCTGCGATCTGTTTTGACTAAAATCAAGATTTTTTTTTTCTGCACAGTGTTATCACAAACTTTCAACAGTGTTTACTTTATTGAATAAAAAAACATTTTTTCCCCCTAAAAAATGCAAACTAAAAAAAGTATACGCCCAAATATTGCTCAAGTTCCTCAGATTGCTTCTAGTGTGGATTCACGTGTCTCCGAGGAGGCAGCACAGGCTAATCTGAGAGTTTTCAGACCAGGTTCCATGCACCTGCCTTTGGGAAAGTTGCACTGTTACCCCGCCCCCTCCCCTCTGCCCTCGCTCTCCTCCCCCTCCACCCTTCTTTCTTGTTTCTTCCCCCTCTTTCCCTCCCCCTTTTTTCCCAGAGTTCTCACTAACATTTAATTTTTTGAAAATCAATACTCGGACAAATTAAACAAGAGCCTGATTTGGACTTTGCTAGTTTTGTGACATAAATCATATAACTTCACTTACACTTAGTTCTTTTAGTCCTAAAACAGTTATAGCAATGTTGGCTTTTCCTATTGCATGGAATTACGTTAAATCACGCAGGTGGAGGTACTTTGAAAGCCTAGACATGGCAAATGTAAATGGTGGTGTTGTTTTGTTTCCCTTCACTGAGCTTGGAGCTCCGGCGTTAGGCGTCCAGTACGCCAGCACTGTTGTTGCTCACAGGAGCCATGTAAGGGATCACGGGTAAGACTGGGCTTATAAATTCAGCGAGATGAAAATGTGTTTTTATTTTTATTTTTCCAGTAAATTGAGTTGCTTCCATTTGTATCAATTTAGAGTGTATAGTTGTAAAGGTTTCATTTTTATGTTGGAGAAAAACAATGGCCTAGACCACATGTGTCAAACACAAGGCCCGCGGGCCAAATCCGTCCTGCCAGGCCTTGCAATGTGGCCCGCACTGCGCTGTCATCACTGCACTCCGCTGCGTTTCCATCACAATGACAGTTTATGACTGTTCAGTAAACCATTCGGCCCGCGATTTAGGCTGGATTTTAGATTTTGGCCCCTTCTCTGATTGAGTTCGACACCCCTAGCCTAGACACATGGTCGGCAATCTGCGGCTCGAGAGCCACGTGCGGCTCTTTGGCCCCCTGAGTGTGGTTCCTCCACAAAATACCACGGCCTGCGTGAGTCTATTTTGAAGAAGTGGCGTTAGAAGAAGTTTACTTTTAAAAAATGTGGCTCTCCAAAGACATTTCAATCGTGGTACTGTTGATATTAGGCTCTGTTGACTGATGAGTTTGCCGACCACTGGCCTAGACCGTGTGAAGTCAGAGGGTCGCCACTTCTGACAGGCTCCCCGTGGTGCTGTGCACGCTGAGCAGCCAGGGCTTAGGACAAGTGGCCACTGTAACTGCAGCCCAGACCTTCTCGTCCCTGACGCCTCTGTGCCCCTCTCTGCCGCCGGGCTCGCTCTGGGTGAGCCAAGGAGCCACCACGTGTCTCAGATGAGGGACTCAAGTCTGGGTCATGGGGGCATTTCCGAGAAGATTCATGCTGCCTGGAGAAGCAGTTAGTCTGGCTGGGAAAATACCATAAAGATGACAACAGCAAAACGTCTGGTGACAGGGACCCAGACAAATCTGATAATGTGCCCAGTGAAGCCAAGCACAGGGCCCTGCCTCTTTCCTGCCGGTTTATTTTCCGGGGATGCTCTGTCCCTGGGGTGGCACCAAGGGCTCGTAGCGTGTGGTGTTTGTTTTCCAAGCTGCGGGCTCTGACTGAATTGTCAGGTCTGAAGAAAAAAAAAAGTGCTGCAAATCAACTTCTGACTAGATATTTGCTAGTAGGAATACTGCACAGTTTCTCCCCCTGGTGTATCATACAAAAGATGATTCTCTTTTGTTAAGAATAAATGGGCCGGAAGAGGTCCTTTTATTCACCTCTGTGAGCCAAAGAGCGATGTTAGTCCTCGTCCAACACTTTCATTTCAGCCTTGGCTGTTACGTTGTGCATTTACAGATTTCACCGGCGATAGACGTGTTCAGGCTTTACATGTCTTGTTAAAAGAAAAAAGGAAAATCCATCTGATATAAATGAGATTTATGGATTTGAAACTCATTGTATTAGCAAATAGTGGAGGGAAACTGAAGCTCTCAGGTCTTTGTGTTGTGAGTAGAGCTATGTCAATATGCCTAATCTGTGATGAGGCCAGGTCTGTTGGATTAGACAGTAGATGTGAGTGGTCCTGGCAAAGCTCGGGACTACAGCCTGAACCTGTAGGAGAACTTTTATATTATTGAGGACTTTTATATTATTGTTGAACTCTTTGACAGTGACTGGTGTCATGCATAGCCAAACTTTCACAAGTTTCTATGCCACTGGGAAATATTAGTGGATGATAAAAGCAGAATAACACCAAGTAAAACTTTACTGGCAAATTGAAGCCTCATGGTGACACCTTTTGTGTTGGTCCAGGGTTCTCAGCTTCCATTGTGCCCCCAAGTCAGGTGGTAGATTTTTAAAATGCGGCTGCACCTGCCCTCTGGTCCTCTGCCTCGCTGTGCCATTTGGTTAGGGACAAGGCCTGGGCATGAATTCTTTCTTTTCTGTTTTTGTTAAAAATTATGTGTATATTTATTGATTTTAGAGAAAGAGGGGTAGGGAAAGAGAGATAGAAACATCAATGATGAGAGAATCACTGATCAGCTGCCTCCTGTACATCCCTTACTGGGGATTGAGCCCACAACCCGGAATCGAACTCTGACCTCCCTCCTGGTTCATAGGTCGACGCTTAACCACTGAGCAACACCGGCCAGGCATCTCTCTTTTATTTTTCAACTCTCCCAAATGATTCTAATTGTTGCCTGATTGAGACCACCAGTTTAGACATCAGGGTGACTTGTGACACAGTCACCACTTGATGGCAGTGTTGCTCCCTTAATGGCCCTGCTTCCTTTAAAATCACAGAAAAGTATCCTTTCTTCTCCCTGAACCCCCATGTTTGTGTCTTATTTTTGTTGCAGTATGTCTCTTCCTCGCTCACTTGCAACTTAATTGAATGGAAAGATACCTTCTAAATCGAGATGTTGTTCTTTATTTTTTCTAGTGTTTTATTGGATGGGCAAAATAAAGGAGAAAAAAACATGGTCTGCTGTTGCCAGAAACACATGACTTTTTGAGATCGTTCTAAATTTATTTGCCATGTGACTGTGCTTTTCTGTGGTGGGTGAGGACCAGGTCCGAGATAAAATACTACATGCCAGGAGTTGGGTTGTTTGTGGACTTCTGTAGTTGGGAGCCACCAGATTTCCCCCTTTATTGTGCTTCTTAACACATCATTACGGATGCTGGGAAAGCCACGGTCGGTGGCAGGATTTCACTTCAGCTTGCTGTTTTTGTGCCTGGTAACATTGTAAGTTAGCAATTGAGCTTTCCTAGCTAACCATCCGTGTGTACAGTCAGTCCTTACTCTTGGTGCAAAGGGTGGAGGTAAAGGTTGTGGGTGATCCACCATCTCAACCTCCAGTGCTTGGTGGGGAGAGCTGAGGGCTTGGGCCCTGGAGGCCCTGGAGTCAGAGGGGTGTGAATCCTTGCTGCCAGCAGCCTTGCTGCAGGGGGCTCCTCCTCAGGACTAAGCTGACCCCAGAGCCTGTGACTGGGCCCTGGCGAGGTTAAAGTTCAAAGTCAAAACCTAGAGGTTTCATCGCAGGCATGAGGAGCCGTTGCTGTATAGCAACGGCTCCTCATGCCTGCGATGAAACCTGAACAGTCTCAGGGGATGAAATCTGTGGACATTGGACATGAAGCACCTTCAAAATCTGGGGAGGTGGGGGGGGAGGGCAAGACTTGGATGAGGCAAGCAGGTGCCCCCTTACAAAATTTAAGGAGGTACTCACTTTCAGGGTGCTGCAAGTGCTGACCCTGCACTTACAGGGCCCTGAGAATGGTGCCTCCTTAAATAATGCATACCCTCTGCTTGGCCTTCTTCACAGCTGCTCATCCCTGCCCTCCAGGGTACTTAAGTGCCCTGGAGGCTCTGCCAGGGACGCCAGGGACCTTAGCTTGGCTTTGAGGAGGGAGTCCTTGGAAGGAGGAGAACGTGTTGTCTAGTTTAAAACACAGCTTTGTTTAGGTAAAATTCGCATCCTATACAACTTGCCCACTTAAGTGTACATTTTTCTGTATTCATAGGGTTGTGCAACCATCACCACAATCTAGTTTTAAAACATTCTTGTCCCCCAGAAAGAAACGCATAGATGTCCGTTTCCATCCCCCTTGTTGATATTTCTCCTGCTCCAGGCGAGGAGGGAGGGTGCAGGGGACTCCATGTTCCCCCCACTGAGAGTGCCTGGGAGACGAGGAGCACCCACAGCTCTCCCCACCCCCAGGGGGCAGCTACACGACCACTGGTCAGCGGCCCTGGCTCAGGGCTGCATTTCTTTCAACTGTTCTCAAACTGAGAATGCCCACCGCCCCTTGGAGAACTTGGGG